AAWMWWAAAGTATTCTCGACTACCAAACATGCCAGATAAGACCAAATGTTTTTGTGGTGGTTATACATGTACACAGTCACCAGTCAAAAAGTATAAAATAATGTACTTGTCATGGTTGAGAGGTTACTATAATCACATGATATCATCTGACCAATGATATGAAATCTTTTAAAGTTTATTGTTCCCTTATTAGGAGTTAGAGTCTACACTTGCAGAGCTGAAAGAGCAGGTTGATACAGCACTTGGTGCAGAAGAAATGGTTGAAATTCTAACTGACAAGAATTTAGAACTTGAAGAAGAGCTAACAACGTTAAAAGAAACTGTTGCAGATTTGGTAAGATAATTATTATTGCTTCAGTTACATGTGAGAATTGGCTGAGTGTGTGAGTGAGAAGAGGAATTGTTTCTTTAGTTGGGAATGTATTAATATTTGAGTTATATCGAAACTTTATCACTAAACACAAAATATAATATACATGTACATCATTATCATGGTTATAATTATCTATAATACACCAGCTATATTTCTCCATTATGTAAAGTTGTTATTTTCACTAGTGAAAATAACACATTCGTGCTATCTCTCTATCTTGTTAAGAAGTAAAAGTTGTTTAAAAAAATCACTTGGTTTCATGTATAATAATTGTTTATGATAAACAGAATATTACATGGTCGCCTGGATATACCAATTTTATCCTCTTGTATTGAAAGTCTTCTATTYAGCATTCAAAGATAAAATCCGTATTTCCGTGGGCCCATGTAATATCTTTTATTTAAGGCATGGTACAACCGCTCTTCAACTGATAAGTGTTTTATTATTTACCAAGCACTGTTGCTATTTAATGATATTATTGTAGGAAGCATTAAGGGATTTAAACGAAGAGTTGGAAGAATCTCACATTCAGACAGAAAAAGACTTGAGAGAGGAAATTGATATGTCAAGAAACAAAGTGGTTGAGGTAATGATTATTTGATATTTTTAAAACATTTCATGAGATCTTTTTGAATTATGAACTTCTTATTATTTGGTATTTGAATGTGCTATTAAATAAGATCTTAGTAAAGAACACATTCTAGTAAATACATTTCATGTTTTTGCATTGCRTATCAATTGATTGAATGATACTAAAAATACCATCTTTGGGTAAAATTCAAAATGGCAAAAGACCTGCAACTATATTTTGTAGCCTGCATTACATCTGGTTTTATTTGGCAAATAAAACYGGATGTAACGCAGGCTACTACATTTGTAGATTTGTACATTTGGTGGCCTTAATCAAAATGTAATAATGTTTATTGTCTAGGCTGAGCATAAAGTAGAGTTGGCACAAGAATCCATTGTGGACTATCAGCAGACCATTGAAAAGTTCCGTGAACTGGTAACAAAACTACAGGTAAGTACACCTCTTTTTTACTGAATTACTTCAAAGAGGTTTTATTTGATAGAGTGGTAATGATATATTCTTTTATATATTGTATATTGTAAAGCTATGCTCTGGAAGCTGTTAAGGCTACAATGTATTTGGCTTTGATGTCTTTTGTATACTGAAAATTTGCAAGTACGATTTGCTAAGCGAACTGCTAGTTCATTGTTTGGTAATAGAGTATGATAAGTTCTTTGTTAATTCAGGAAAGCAATCGTGTTAACCAAGAAAAGACAGAAGRCATMAGTGGAACACCAGATATTGTGCTGCCTCAGGCAGAGATTATGGACTTTAAAGTCAAGTCAGCAGAAATCAAGTCTTTTGCTAAGGTTTGTTTATTAGTAGTAGTATTTGATGAGTTTTAGAAAAACTTGGAGGTGAATTGACATTAGGTTCCCTTGATTGATCAAATTCATAGCATTTCTAGACTCAACTATTATATAATGTAAATAGAAGCTCTTCGAATGTAATTACAGTATCTTTTATACAACTGAAGATGGCATAAGGATGCCGAAACATGTTTTGTTATAAAATCAAATCTGTCGTCTTATTATTTAAAATTATAGTAAGTTTTTGTTTGTTGTTTTTTAGACTGTAGACAATGAAATGAGAAAGTTTGAAGTAGAACAAGCAAATGAACACATCAAAATGCTGAATAGCTTTCTGCCTGATGCTTTCCTACGGAGAGGGGGTAAGTACTGCTAAACTGTCTAGAAAATGTGTGGACATGCGGTCTGGATTTTGGATAGAGTTTCCAGTTTTTGTTACATCTTCTATTTAATATTAGGTTAAGTTTGCTGTGTACTATTTCAGGTGATAATGACAGCATACTCTTACTTCTTCTTATTCCAAGAATGAGTTTCAAGTGTGAGCTTCTTATTACTCAACTTGGTAGAAAGGTGAATAGTCATCCTCTGTTTTCATTACTTTCCTTAAACTGCTTCTTTTTCTTGTCTGCCTCAATTCTTCCATCTTTTGCTAGCTGTTAAATTGTTCCTATCAGATCTCCTTCCTTCTGTTTTTTATTAGTAAACCCCATTGTTACACCAGTTCCTTCTTGATTCTTGACTTTCCATACCCACATTCAGTAACCATGAGCAAGTTCAGTGACCATGGACAAAGGTTTGAACAAAGGTGTAAAGGAACATGAAGCACAGATTGAATATATTTTTTATGCTAAAAGTGCACCTTGACACCTTATTATTTTCAATCCTTTTGTTGTCACTGAACCAGAGCATGTTGAATTAATTTTGTATTTTCTCTTTTGGTTTGTTCTTACAGTATGAGATTGCTGAGTGTCTTGATGACCTTTCACTGATCCAAGGTCACAAAGGAGATGCCCTAACCTTTGCTACTGGACTTATGTACCTTCTTTCCACTTTACAAGCTGTAGTCAAACATATGGAGAGGTAAAAGAAAATGTTCAAGTTCATCATTTTTGGGGGGGAAATGATTCAATTATCAATTAATATCACATGTTTTGTGTCTTYCAGGGCTTTGCATAAATGTGATACAAGTTTGTTCAACAAACTTGTTGGTATTTACCCTGAACTAGCYGTACATGAGAGGGCTTTGGATACTTTCATAGATCTGCTAAGAAAGGATGTTGTGAGTACACATAGTTCTCTTCTTAGTATCAATATCATGGAGTTCCCTTTGCTCTGTATTTCACCAACTAAGAATCACTCAAAACTCCGCTGATTTTCTTAACTTGCAACAGCAATTTTCGATGAAGTGCCATTTCATTTTCAAATAATGTTGTATTAAGCGGTCTGAGCTTAAGTGTTCAATTATAACCTTTTTGTGGTGCAATGAATGCCCTCTTTAGATGAGGTAGGATTCCCCTAGGTATTAGGGCTATGGCTTTTGTTATTGTTTTATAGAATAAAAGAGTTGGGCCTACAACCTTAGAGGTTCCCTACCTCATTTAGCCATGATCCTTCATATTAGTCTTTTTAGAAAGCACGACTTTGTGGTAGTCAAATGTGCAGAAATCACTTCATTGGTTAGAAACCTTTAGAGTGCAAAAGATTTACTTTAGTTGGTGTTTTCTGATTTTTTTCTTATTGTATTCACAACTTTTAGCTTGATGAGAATATTGCTATGGAACCTCTGGAAAAGGCCATTCACTACTACAAGGTACATTCATGACATTTTATAAACAGGACATTTGCTTTACAGCAAACAGTTAACAGTTTTTGTTCATAGACAATGACCACATTTCATCTTGGAACTGACCCGATTTCTTGCACTGAGTATCTCAACGACCACCTCAAAATACTCACTCAGGCATGTGATGAGATGACCATTGACATAGAAAGACTTAAGACCCTGGCTAAAGTAAGACACTTTTCTATTTATCAAAATTAATCATTTCAGAAATAAATTGATTATCATTACTATTTTTGCATACAATACAGCCATTTGCAAAAATTATGAGAATTGTCTAAATATCTAAATATCATAATATCCGTATCCATATATTGTCCGGAACACGCGGGTTTGCTAGAATAATTCATTGTTGACATCGAGAAAATGTTCAGAACTACGTATAAGTCCGTCACCACCGAAAAAAACTAAACTACAAAGACAGAGGACAAAGGGAATCGCGYGCGATTACCCATCATGCACTTGATATTATCATATTTAGATCTTTCGACAATTCTCATAATTTTTGCAAAAGGCTGTAACAATAGCTTCACAGTTTTAATGGGTATTTTAGGGAACGGTACCATGATATTTAATATACATGTAAGTAAATATTAATTAATTGTTCATTGCATGTCATAGAATTGTCTGGAAGGCAGTGAGTTTGGAGCCCTTGTTCAGGATATGGAGTTGAGAAATGTGGAAGTGCGGCAGCTTTGTAAGAAGGTATTGCTGTCTGAATAGACGTATGGTAGAAAGATTTTCACCATTGACCTMATTAGCTTTCATTTGTATTTGTGGTGTTTTGTTCACTCTATTGTCAGTGATAATATGAGCTCATCTTTATTGTTATTAAACACAAGTTTGGGAATTTAGGAAAAGCATGCTTCCTTCTCTCTTTTCAGATTAAAAGACGCATACCACAAGATGGCAAAAGTGTCTTAAAATTTTCAGAAAAGGTCAGCAAGTAATTGTACTTTATAGAATAATATGATTGTACAAAATGTATGTAACCAGCTCAATATTATTTAGATTATGGCAGAGTTAGTTGAATGTGTTACCCGGCAGCAGTTGTTGGTCAAGTTTGCTCAAGATTTAGTGTCTATTGTTTCACAAAAGGCTGCTGCCCTTCCAGGTATGCTTAAAGTGCACTTGATACTTTTTAGATATTCACTTTTATCCGAAAAGGTAACATGCTGCCAAGAACTTCTGTGGAGAAAGATTGAAATAGATTTTGAATTATATTTTCTGAGTTATAGACATTTAAAAATTAAAAAATTAATGCAAATGAAGTGACATCAACTAAGAAATTGGTCCACACTTTTTAAATTGTTTGTGTTATGTTGTTATTTGTTAAGAAGCTCAAATCATCAATCATAGTAATAATTGAGAGCTGAAAAATTAATGCTTTTTTCCGATTTAATAGAAAGAATAACGTCATCTTTCATGATTTTGTATATTAACTCATTCCTTAGTGAACGTCACGTCATTTGCTTTTTCTAAGTTTCACAAGCCCATAACTTAGGAAATACAAATTAAAATCAAATTAATTTCTTCTTACACAAAATAAAGTACTTAGCAGCATCTTTTTTGAATKAGAATGAATTTCTAATGGTGTCTGAATGTGCACTTTAATTTAAGCCCAGTTTCAATATAATGGACTAAATTGCCAAAAACATTTTTTTGGTATTTTAGTTTCCACAAGGGAATTATCAACAATGCATAAGCATGTTTTAATTTGATTGGACAATAGGCCTTTTGCATGAAACGGTCACATGGTACAAAATACAACATACTGGATGGCAAAATACCCACTGGGATTTTCAAAACAAAGAAAAGTCAAGCTTGATGGGCTGCGTTCCCTTTGTTTTTGAGGTTGTTTGCCATCCAGTATGGCGGATTTTGTACCATGTGACCGTTTCATGCAAGAGGCCTATTATATGGATCTTAGCCTGAACGTTATGCGTGTCTGTCTTCCTACAGTCCATTTCTCTAAATTTATCTATACCCACCTTCATCTTACCTGGATTAATTACTGTGAATTTGTGTTGATTTAGATAATGAGCATCTGCTTAGTGGTCAGCTTGAAGAGATGTCTCTAGATGTCACAGTTCTTGTCTTTGAAAAAGATGACATCACTGCTGCAATGGCTTGCAGGTAATCAGTCTTTGTGTTATATAATACACAGGAATCCCAACCTCATGATATTGTTCTATATTTTTAGTGATACTTTTCATTCTGTCATGTCATTCTTGGCTGGTTTTGCAMTCAAGATCCAAGAGGGAGAGTATGATGCAGAGCCTGTTGATGAACCAAAGGTTGATAACAAAATCAATCGTATTTCAATTGTATCACATTTTTCATTTACTAAAACTTTCTTTCTTAATCTCTGCTACCTTTCCTCAAAATGTGTCTTTCTGTCTTTATATCATTGTAGCTATGCCATCATTCATCTTTTTTAGTAAGTCTCAGCTAATAATGTTATGTTATTCCTGTGATTAATATAATCCAATAGACCTTTTCTGAGATACGAAATCATGGTGCATTGTGGTCTAGTTTCAGTACAAACAACACCATATTTGGCCACATGAACAAAAGATGTTTGTACCGAATCTAGACCACGATGCAAAGCGTTATGCTATTTCAGAAAAGGCCTATTGGTTTCTTTAATTCTTCTTTTTTATTCTGATTAGCTTTATTTCTTTTTTATTTCTTCCATTATTATTTTAATTTTAGTTATTTATTYATCATTCATTTGAACCTGTTTCTAAAAATGTTGACCAATAAAAATAAATGAAATTTGTGACATTTTCCATTTTAACATTTCCGGTAACTTAATAYGAAGACTGGCTAAGTTTTCAGAAAAGTCATGCCATACTGTAATTGTTTTAGGAACTCTTAATAGAGAAAAACCTAAATTGAAAGCTTGACTAATAATTCAAAAATGTGATTGAGCTTATGAAAATGTCTGTTTTMCCATTTTATTCATTTCTTGTATTTATTTTCTGTTATTTGGGTCAGCATTTTTAAATAAAGGTGTATTTATATTGATTTCATTGATTATTTTATTTATTTCTTTATCCATTATTTTATTTCATATATTTGCTTTATATTTGTTTACTGCTGAATTATTAGATTAATATTAAATTATTGTTCATATACACAAAGGTTCAACCACCTTACTTGGTACGTTCCAAGTCATTCAAGTCAGAGCTCTTTGATACTGCTGGTGTTGAAGAAAAGCTATTACAGAAGGACCAAGATATGCTTGATTTGAAGAAGAGTGTTAAACTAAAGGTAAAAGGCTTTATTTATGTTAATACCATGGAAACGTTTGTCAGTAT